AGCTGTTTGGACTGCCTTGTACTGAAATCTCTGTTGAACGAAATTTTGCAATTTTACTTTTATGTCTCAATCTGGAGGGATGAAATATTTCTCTGAAGGCCTAAATTATTGATCCCTCTAGTAGTTATTGGGTATGAATCACCAATTTGGGAAATACTTCAACAAGGTTGGATTTATCTGCTTATGGATCTGGATCCATGGGTAACAGCTCTAAACTAAAATCTTCTTGTGCAAGCCCTTTCATGCATAGAATTTTTCTGTTGATATTTGTTTGGTTGTGTGTTGAAATTTGTTAGTAATCACTTTTTATGTTGCTTAATTGTAATATGCTTCATTGGAAATCAAATAATAATGGTTAATTGATGTGTTGATTTTAGAGAAGGTTACACCAATGGCTTGACTCTTTAGCACTCCTGTCCTTTGAAATGGAACTGGGTTCTCCGGCTGTGTTTTGTATTCTATTATGTTTTTTTTTCAATTTTTAATTTTTTCTTCACTATTTATCACTTGAAAATCATGTCTACATTGGATGTCAGGTCTTGCTGATCATGATAATTACCATGAGTACTGTCGCCATCTCGGACGTTTTAGGGTACATCTTTCTCTCTTACCTTTCTTTCTTTCTTTTCTTTTTTTGTGTACTTTATTCTTTTAAGAGAAAATTTGGAAGTTGATTTGATTTTGTTTAAACAGCAGGGTTTCGAATCAAGTTCTGCAGTGGAAAACCAATGCAACAGCAACATGTTAATGATGCAGCCTCAAATGGCTATTTTTAATCCTCAACTGCCAATTCCATTGAGTAATGATTCTAGGGCTATGCCTTTGCTAAATAATGTTGGTTTCGTGAATGGAGCTAACCCGCTTCTTCCCTCACAAAATAACCATCTGGGTGTTCCTCAATTTGGTCCCATTTTCCCAAACTTGAACAATGTTTCAATGTTCCAACAACTTCATGGCCAATTCAATAACCCTTTGCAGAGCCCAAATCAACCCAATTCGTTAAATTTACCTCAACAACTTAATCAAAATAATATGGGTTTGACAAATGGGCAGCATCAGCCGCGACAACAACAACTTTTTTTGCAGAACCAATTGCAGAGCATTGGCCAACTTTTGAACCAAATCCCAAATCTCTCTCAGTTTGTTTCTGGTGGTCAAACAATGGGATGCTTCAATCCTGCCTGTGTTCCTTTGAATCCACAGTTTGGATTTATGCAGCAAAACCAGATACAGCAGCAAGCCAACCAGAGTCAGCAAAATTTAGGAGATGTTAATCCATCAAGGCCATCGTCTTCCGCAGCAAGTACACAAGTACTAGGGGGCCCATCATTCAGAAAGCCAATGGTATTTATTTTGTTTCCTCTTAGTGTTTTAACTTTGTACCAGAACTAGATAATTAGTTGTAGTTTATATTAATCTAAATTTGGTTCAAGAAAGTTCGATTGCCTATGCTAGAGCAAAGCATTGATTCTAGCAATACTATTCCTTCGATACTGCAGCTGTTCCCATTGTTTGATATGTGAGAATGGGTTAAAACAAATCCGGTAGGGTTACCATTGGAGATTCAACCAACTTCGGAATTAATTTTTATTTTTAAATGCAGAAAGAATGATGAGTTGTTCTGCGATGACTTTTGAGAATTTGGAACAATTTATTCACAAATGGGGATGCCCCTTCATTTGGGGACCTTTTCTTATTAGCTTATGTTCTTCTTTTACCGAACTCACAATTTCTGAAGCTGCCTGGCTGTCATGTTATTTTTAATATCTTTTAATTGTTAAGCAGGGCATGATAACTCGATATATTGTGTGAAATGCTCCTTTCCACAATATTTGTGGTGTGTATCTCTTTGCTTTGGCTGTTGCAATTAATTGAAGTCTTTTAAATTCTTGCAGGGCAGTCCTGGTAAAAGTGGTCAGAATTTGAATAATTTTCCAGGCAGAAATGTTGCAAGGGATTCAAAATGGGGGTGTGTGTATTGTTAAATATCATTTTGTTTCTAGCTTCTCTTTGTGAAAGACTTTAATGGCTTGTGATACAACTGAAATTCAATTTTTGTAGATTTCATAAGTCTAAGTTTCAGCAGTCTCGATTTCACCAAGTGGATAATGCAAAGAGAAAGTTTGCATCATTTAATGGACAAAAGAAAAAAGGTTCCCCTCTTTATGATTTGCAAATAATTTCTAATTTTCTGTTTTAAGTAAATATACATTTGAATGCATGATTGGTTTGTGTGTAGATAAGCTTTCCTTTATGGTTATTTGACATTGCACTTTTAATATGGTGTCACATCATCTTTGCGTCTAATTTAAACAAGATAGGTTAGAATGACTGAATTTAGTGCACTTTAAGAACTTTATTTACTCAATTGGGACAAATTAGAGGCCAGTGACAAAAGTGGGAAAACGGGTCTGGTGAAATTTACCCTCTGTATCTCTGGAAAACTAGTTTTAATTTAAAATCCTGGTTTCTAAATCTTGCTTTTGGTCTTCTATGGTCTAAAGAAAATGATATGCCATTTGTTTCCTAACTAGTAAACCAATGGTCTGATTGAAAATAGACTGCTGGAACAGGGTGGAACAAAGATTTCTAAGGATAGTTGTATAGGATTTGGGTGGAAAATCCCTATTACTTGTAGGTTTTAAAACTGGCTCTCCCTTGCTTTCATCAGGGTTCTGATTAGGAACCCTCAACCTTAGTTGTTGCTTTCACCTCATTTATCGAAATTTGCAAGCAAAAAGACCTTATCCTTTCTCCCCATGCCTCCTCTCATCATGTAAATGCTGGATACAAATATGAGTAAGAGATGTGGAATTCCTGAATGATTTAGAAACATGTAATACTTCTATTCCAGAACTAGATTGCTTGAATTCTTGAAAAAAATTTTTCCTACAGTTGAGAGTCAGTTTGTTTGAAATCACTGTTTCAGTGATTGATTTCTAGTAATTCTCAAATTTGACATTGGTTAATCCTTGTTCATATGTGCATGTAAGTGAAGTGGTATTCAACAAATAGAATAAGATATGCAAGGTGTATTGAGTGATTGATGGAAGTTGCTTTTTGGTTAATATTTGAACATTTAGTTTAGTATTAAGGAGAAAAAGTAGAAGGGTTTTTTTTTTCTGGTGGGATAAGTGTAGAAGGTTATTTTTTAACATTAATAAATCATGATCCTAAGTGGCTCTGGTCTGGGGTTCAGATCATTGAGGTATGAGATGGGGAGAGTTAATGCTGTTGTGAGGTTTAAATTCTTGCCTATTGATAGGAAACTAAGAAAATGAGCAAGAGGAAAGAGAAAATAAAGTTTGCTTGCTTTATTTGAGTCCATGTGTGAATGCCAATATGTAGATATCTTTGGATATATGTTTTGAGTCTGTTTTACAATATTTATTTACTTAATTATTTTGGCTTTTTAAGAAACTTGCCAAACAATTTCCCATTAACTGTGCATTTTGATGACTATGGCTTGGAATTGGTTTCTTTTCTGCCTACCTTTTTGCTTTTGTTTCTTTTGAAATAATTTCTAATATCTCCTCATCCGTTGGTTAAAAATAACAGGCCAGGATAATGAGAGGGCTGCTAAATTTCCTTGTTCTAATCCTGCAAACCCAGACAAGGAAAAGAGAAAGTAAGTTCTGCTTGCTCTTACTGATATATTGTATGTTTGCTTGTCAGATGCAAAGAAAACTCTTATTGGGTCTATGCTGCTTGAAAGTGATGTTTGCTTGAGAATAATACCATTGTAACATGAGATATTTAACAAAAAAAAAAATGAAGCTTTTATTTAGTTCAAATTGCCTTTGAAATGATGGCTGCGACACCTACAATGGCGGATAGCCTGAAATTAGACAGCTCTTGTTTTGCTTTGTTTATGCATTTTAACATCCAAGTGATTAATGGCTTTGTTAGTTGAGATAGGTCTTTGGCTGGGCAATATCTGTTTTATTACTTAATAAGTCATGTGAGCTTCTTTTGGTTGTGATTGGGCATTCCTGACAAGTTGTTTCTGGTCTAAACTTTATCAAAATATCCAATGATAGTAGATCGGGGCCTTTTCTTTTAAATCTTAAGGAAGTGCATATTTTACCTGAATCTTCTTCCTTAGTGGTATGGATTATGGAACAGTGGTGTCAGTGGAGCTGATACATTATCACCTAAACTATAAGAAGTTTAGGATTGGTCTAAGTGAAGATGCATGTTGGGTGAGGGTTGGCCATGCATCAAATACAAACAAATCGCAGCGGAAGAAAACAAACAAACAAAATACACCTTACCCTCCTAGGATCTCATTCATGCCGTATCGAGCACCGAATCAAAATGTAAAATAAAGCCATATGATTAGATCATATTACCTAAACAACAAAGGTTGATGAATCCTTTGTTCAACCACCAAAACAGCCTTGAAAGACTCATTTCAACAATGCATTCCATTGAGTTTCAGATGAATGGGCCTTATATGGTTGATTCGGAAACTTCATTCCTTGAATATTATAATAGTGGTTATGGTGGGACTCATTTCTATGCAATCATGTTAAAAACTTTTGGCTTGCCCTAAACTTGGCCCTTAATTAACTTGATTTCCATGAGGTGCTTAAATTCTTGAAGATGTATCATGATGAAATCATTGATGATAGGCGAATTTAGCATCTGTTAATTTAGGCCGTAAATGTCCATTTGGAACTCTTGCGAGGTATTACAAGGACTGTAAGTATTGAGAATGGCATCCCAGTTTTTGCACGGAATGCTCGTGCTCCATCCCTTGTTTTCATTCAGTATAGATACCAGAATTTTTAAAGTTTCACAACTTTTCAGAGTGTTTTGAAGTGCCTGAATTCGATTGTTTGATGGGGAATGTAAAATATATATAAATATATATAGTGCTAACTGAAGCCATAATTGGAAGTTGCTCGTTTTGTATCAGCTATAAATTGCA